TCTCCAGGCTGAGGTACAGTCATATATACTTCAAAGGTTTGCACAGATAATAGCATAAATTCTCAACATTTCTGAATTTTATACAACCTTAGCCAATCTCAAGTTAAAATGAAATAAGTAATTTATTACTTTTGTCTCTGTAGTAGTATCTAGTGGCTATATAAAACAAAAAAAATACAGATATATGCCTGGCTTTTATAATCATATACCAATTTTTTTTTTTTGCATGTATGCTTAAGAAATTAAAATTACAGAAATATAAGGCTTTAGATAACTTTATTTCTCCAAATTCAAGCCATGTCAAACTTATAGAGGATTACAGTATTTAATCTTCTTGTTTAAATGTTAAAAGTTTGTATGTAGGCCAATACAACAAGAAACTTACGAAATACTGTCGATATATTAAATTTTCAAACCTTGGACAACTATTTGAGATTTTCATATACTATTGAGAAAACCCTGATTTCCATTTGCTCTCTAGCCCCTCCTCCTCCCACGTGACTCGGTGGTGAGCTCTGGTTGCTTATATAACTAAAAATCAGGATTCGAAACCCATGTTGGGAACAGCACTGGTAGCCCATGGAATAGCGTTGCACTTAGAAACAAGTTTTTTTGTTTTTTTATTTCGCGCAAAGCTACACGAGGGCTATATGTGCTAGCCGCCCCTAATTTAGCAGTGTAAGACTAGAGGGAAGGCAGCTAGTCATCACTGCCCACCGCCAACTCTTGGGCTACTCTTTTACAAACGAATAGTGGGATTGACCGCAACATTATAACGCCCCCGAGGCTGAAAGGGCGAGCATGTTTGGTGGGATAGGGATTCGAATCTGCGACCTTCAGATTGCGAGTCGAAAGCCCTAACCACCCGGTTATGACGGGCCACCTTAGAAACAAAGAAACACTAATTTGGTCTTTAGTGTAAAGCGAATTATTTTTCGTTATTTTTAAAACCAGATTTAGTTAATTTTGTTTTTAATTTCCACTTTGGTTAGGGTCGTCAGGTGGGGCAATTATGTTTTATTTTTGTCTATTTATGTAATTTACTGTTTCAGTGGTTACTATAATCTCTTGTGTTAATTGTGTTCTATCCTTTTCTAACAATATATCGCTCAATATCCCAATCTACAGTTTTTAAATAGATAATTTAAGACAGTTAAGCTTATTTATTTTTCAATATACCCACTAAATTTCGCAGCACTTAACACTTTCTTAGGCGTTATAATTGTGAAATTTAAGTTCATTATAATTGACACAGGCAGGTGAATATATGTGTTACAAAAATCATGACATTAGTGTATTTGAATCATGGATGTCATAAAACACTAGATGTGGCATACTCCCACCCAAGATACTTCAACCAGAAGCGCCACTAGTAACTGGCACACGGAGCCCATGCCCCGATTCTACTTGACAGTGTCCCGAATCCCCAGTTGATGTCTTGAAAAAATCAAAAGCCATGACACATATCATACTGAAACGCCGAAAATTCCCGCTCCTATGGGCTTGAGACCGAATCTTTTAAGCACCTAGCTACACCCCTGACATCAGTCTAACCGCCATATTTGCGCGTTCAAGTTTTCTTAGTAGAACTGTTTAATGTAATGGAGAACAGCAGCATGTCAACTCTAAAAATTAAAAATGCCGCAACATTGTTTAATATTCAGTCGTAATTTTGAGCACAAAACAGGAAATCACATTTATCAGGTGGGACTTTTTATATCTTTTGATAATCGTTTTTATGTTAGTTTTGTAGCATAGTTAACCTTACAATGAAAAAAAATAAGAAATAAAAGGCTACATTATTCAGAGTTTCATTAGAAAAAGGGACGAAACCCTGTTGCCAAAGCGAACTTTATTACTTATAGATGTAATTCGTAGCGTTAGATCCAAGTTTATAGATAAACAATGACTTATTTGGTGTAAGCCTTGGTAAGTACAGACCCCCCATCCCCCGTGCTCAGCGGAGAGTATGAGGACTTGTACAACTAAACATCAGATTTCGATGTCTTCTGGGGGCAGAGCACAGATAACCCATTGTTTAACTTTGTGCTTAACAATAAACAAAAAGCAACATTAAACGGAATAATCAAAATACAATAAATCAAAGTGTATGATACAACTGAGAAATAAACCAAATGAAATTAACCATAATGAAGACACATCTGGCCAGTTACTACAAAATATAATGCATCACATAAAGATGGAACAAGTTATACTTAAAAATCAAAATACTAACTGAAACTGAACAGAAAACATACCAATAAGTAAATACAATACAAAAATGTAGTACGGATATAAATTGATCACAACAGAAAAACAGTATACAAAAAACAAAATAAGACCAATACATATAATGTTTCACCATGGATCTGGAGATGTTACTACTTACAATACATATAATGTTTCACCATGGATCTGGAGATGTTACTAATTACAATACATATAATGTTTCACCATGGATCTGGAGATGTTACTTACAATACATATAATGTTTCACCATGGATCTGGAGATGTTACTACTTACAATACATACAATGTTTCACCATGGATCTGGAGATGTTACTTACAATACATATAATGTTTCACCATTAATCTGGAGGTGTTACTACTTACAATACATACAATGCTTCACCTTGGATCTAGAGGTGTTACCACTTACAATACGTATAATGTTTCACCATGGATCTGGAGTTGTTACTACTTACAATACACATAATCTTTTACCGTGGATTTTGAGGTGTTACTACTTACAATACATACAATGTTTCACCATGGATCTGGAGATGTTACTTACAATACGTATAATGTTCCACCATGGATCTGGAGTTGTTACTACTTACAATACACATAATGTTTCACAATGGTTCTGGAGGTGTTTCTCTTGTCTGATACGGTGATTGTTTTCCACGATCTCCTTTGAGGTTGAATCCTAAATCATTATCACCGATTCGATCTTGGTGGATGCTACCCCCATCAGCAGTGGGTTTCTTTAACAACCAACTGTCCTAACTGTAAAATAATCAAGTGGCTAAAACACAATGTACTGCACATACATCCTATATTAAAAACCACTCAATTGCTCGCAAAGTAAAGAACTCACTTCCTTTCAGTCATTGAATTTTAAACCATGTGACTGTCCTACCTGTAAAATAATCGAGTGGCAATCACATAATGTAGTGCGTATATTGTACTGTGTAGCTCGGAAAGTAAAGGAATACAATTTCCTTTCAGTCATTAATTGTTCAACCTAATGATCATCCCAGCTGCTAGTCAAGCCGTTAATCCAAGCCATAATAAATAGTGGGTCGTCGTCGGCGTCTCGGCTGATTATCAGAGCATATATATTTAAACGTAAAGAACGATGTACTCTATCAATTGTTACGAGGCAACAGACATGGTAGTTAACCTGTGGTGCAGCTAGTGGTCTTCAGAGCTCTAAGGCAAGAAAT